ATATCAGGCTTTTATCCTTTTTTTTTTTTTTAAATGGAACTCATGATTATAAACTGCTATTTCAGTTTTATAATGTTTTATTTCTATTTCATCACTTTGTACTTCAAGAGAAGCCCATGCCTGCAGAAGGAAACTACAACAACAAAATCTCATGTGCCTATAGAGAGTGCTTTAATACCAAATTGCATCACAAGCCAGAGCTATACAGATACTTGTCAAACTGTGAAAAACAGCACTGGAAACTAAGCTATCACAGATCAAAACTGTACCTCGTTAGTCTCCTTTTTAAAGCTATGTGATGTGGTTTTACACACACACATGCAAATGTTGCTTGTTTGATTCACACAGGAGAGTGGGTTTATTTTGTATAATTAGAACTAATTTAAATACTTTGTGGGCCATATGCAATGGGCATATTTCATGTGATTTGCAAAGATAAGGCTCCATGGAAGACTTACTTGATATTAACTAGAAAGCATTTAGTTTGCAAAGATCTCACTGCCATAACAAAACAGAAATTCAGGTGGAACAGGATACTGCAGGTACTTTAAAACCACCAGATTGCTTTTTGGATGACTACTATGCAATTAGCAACATAACAGATCTGCTTGCTGGAAGGGGAAAGGCATAAAACTTTTTTCTTATGTCTGTCATGTGACAGGGTAAGAACAGGCCCTACTGCCTGTGGAGGAAAGACGAAACAATACACATACCAGAACAAAAATGTTGATCAGCCTGATGACATTAAATCTTGTTCTTCGTCTTGCTCTTCTTCCCTCCATTTTAAGATCTGTTTTTGTTCTTTTGCAGGAGAGTAAACCCCACCAAGGAGCCTGTTTCATGCTATCGTGCTGTAAGAATGTGCCTAGTTTTATTCTGCTGACCAAACAGAAACTTTGCAACAGCATTGCAGGTTAGATAAGCACATTGTTTAAGGCTGAGCTGCTAAGAACAAGTCTCTGTTTTCTTACTTAGTTATTCTTAAGAGGAGAACCAGGCAATTCCAAGCCCGAGTTTCAAGGCAAGTGAGAGTTTCAAGACCAAGAGGCATATTCATTCCCAGTGTTAGGAGCTAATCTGCCTCTTGAAACTCAGTGGAGAGAGGTTCCCTCTTTATTGCCAGAGCCCCAAATCACTGCCAGAAGAGGTGGCAGGCACATAGACCCACCTGCCCCAACTGCTCAGCGTTGCACTCCTGTCATTCTCGTCAAGTTTTGGTGTATTTTTGTTCAAAGGGAAGGGATGAGATCTGTTTATATTGACTGCTGCATCTCTGAGGGTGTGTACTGTTAGTTCTGACAAGTAGGGATTTGGTTCTAGTGTTTTAGTTTTGCCTTGGCCAGATCTTAACAGAGGTAGAAAAGGACTTTCCCAGGTGGAAAACCTCCTGTCTAAGACATCTCTGAGGAGGTTGTGCAGTATTCTGGTTACTAGAATGCCTCAAAAAGATCCTGTCTCTTCCTTTCTGAGAGGGTACTGATTCAATAAGTCATGCCATGTCACAGCCTCTGCTTTCACCAAGCAGTAATTATCAGCTCTTAAGTTCCCTCCTAAATCCTCATTTCCAATCACTTTGTTTGTGCGCTGAATCTCCTCCTGCTCATCTCGCAGCTCTCTGGCAATTGTGTGCTCAGAACCAAGTGCAGCATTACCACAGCTGTAGGAGATTGCTAGAGCTCAAACTGCATTTTACTGATCTGAACCACTGTGGCTTCATGTCTCACTGTCGGCACCTTTCAACTCTACGGTTTACTCTGTCTCTCTGAATACTACTAGTCCAGAGTTTTCCTTCAGCTGCTGGCTTATATTAGGTAAAATACAATTAGATATTGTCTCAATACAACCTATGGCTTTTTTCCTTCACTATTTCCCAGGTAAGTATCAGATTATGGTGTCTCTCTGCCATCTACATTAGGACATGGGAGGTGCACTAGAAACAAAACGCGTTCGCTCACTTGTAGATGTTTCTGACTAATCACTAACCCTAATTACTGTCATATAAACATGACACCTCTTAAATGCCTGTATCAAATGCCTTACTAAGAGCCAGATGGTATGTCTTTATAACCTCCTCAAATTTTTTTATTTACAAATTTTATTTGTAACTGTCAACAAATTAAGTACATTTGCTCGCTAAGGTGTGTTATTTCCTCAGTCTGCTAGCACATCACTAATGTTCTATTACTTATCTGAATAAGTGATACCACTCACCAGAACTGTAGCAAGTCCATTAGCTGATTCCCTTACTGGCCAGTACAGCGAATTACCTGGACTCCCACTGTGCTGCAGCAAGCTCACATTTCACAAATATTTTCTTATTGCTTTCATCAGTTACTGCATTACATTCTCATTGATTCTCAGCTGCCCCTCATTTCAAGTATTTTTTAAATAGATTTCCACCATTTCAGAGTTATCAATCTCACTTCAGTGGTCCTGTATTAATAGGCTTTTTGTATTCCTTTCTCCCCCAGGCACATTTGTGAAAGCTCTGCTTTCCTTAGCCGTCTGGTCATTGTTAATTTATTGTTGTTGATGCACTTAGCTTACTCTCTGAGGCTTAAATCTAGTCAGCTGATTATTTGCAGTCCATCTTCCTTCATTCAGTGTAAGGCTACCATGCCATTTGCTGCTGCACATAGCGAAAGTACAGAGCACGTGGCTACTGTGATGGCTAATTTTAAAGACGTACTTGTAATGCTTTCTAAGGGTCACTTCTTTTTTTTTTTTCTTTTCAACTGCTACATCATATTTTGAGACCTGCTAGTGCTGCTGGCATCACTGGGAGGAAAAGGGGCAAAGAAAATCCCATTTGTTAGATGCTAGGTTGCTTCCTCAGCTGGGGCAGTGGAGGGTTTTCTCCAGTATACAGCCAGGCTCAAGTGCTGCTGTCTGGGGATTAATGCATGATCTCTTGGAAACCACAAGTTCAAATCATTCTTCAGACTGGTTGTTTGTACCACACTGCAGGAATTTCAGTGGCTCATAAATCCTGTTATTTCAAATTAAGGGAAGTACTTGAAAATATCATGTGGAGCTTGAATGTTGTTGCCTATTTCACAGACCAAGATTTTTCTACTAATCAGGACATTACACATCTTTGCTTGGACATTCAGCTCGTGTTTCCTGTTCTAAATTGAGAAACGGTAAGTACTTCTGTGAGTTGAATATGTCTGTGAGTTTGCTGCCAACCCTGTATGTGTTTTTATATGCCAGTCCACAATATTATGACTTTCTGGAGAGCAGCCACATACCAAACAAAAAAGCAGTTGCAAAAAGGAAAAGTTAAGAAAAATTAAAGTAGTTTAGCTAAAAAGTCTCCTTTTGTACTTGCAACCAACTTTGATATCAAGTATATCAAAAGTAGAGCAGGATGAACAGGAAAAAAAAAAAGAAAACAGAAATACAGAGCAAATATTGGCTAAGATTGCTTTGGTCCAACAAGTTGTTGCCTGTTTTCTGCAGTTTAGTAAGACCCCCATGGCAATACTATGCCCTTCTACTCTATCCTGTCCTTATCTCTACTTCTGCAGCCAAATACACAGCTTGCCTTTTGCTAGGTAAGTCATATCACACTGCTCTCTGGCATTTTTCCAGATGCTCAGAAGACCATTTGTGAAAACACCAGGTCTTAATAGCTCTGTAATAGTGAATTTTTCTATTAAAGGTGAGATGATCTAAAATAACATGCATTTGATGAAACTTTGTTTCTTGTCATCTCACTTAATCTTTGTTTCTTAATGGCAAGGTGACCTAATACTTCAAAATTCCCTTCTTCCTTTAGGCCCCTGTAGGTTACAGTGATGATTGAGAACATCTAGTCAATGTTCTTTGGGTAACTACAGTAGAATATTCAGAACTTTGTGGCTGTACAAGTAATTTTTCTTTTTTTTTTTTCTTAAGCAAAAGATCTCCCATTTTAAGAAGCACTTGCATATTTTTAAGCCTGGAAAGCTCCTAGAACAACTTAGCAGCAACACTATGCTGAGATACATAACATCTGCAAGTTTCTGGTACATCTACACAGAGTACACGGACTGATGAACCTACAGAGTATATACCCACAGCCTGTCATCCTCAGTGTTGTTCCAGTCATTCCCACTGTTTGAGCTAGCCAGTAGCTGATAGACCTGTAGCTGGATACATAACACTAGTGAAGTTCTACATAGGGCCATGGGGACCATAGCAAGAACTGAAATGTTATCCTCAAGTGTTAAAGAAACCATCAATTTAGTTATATAGTGGCTTAAATTTTTGCTTTCCTCTTAAAGGTGAGGTTTTGTGGGAGGGTCTGGTGAAGAGCAAATGTTCACTTCCCCTGACTGTGGGACCTCCTCTGGAAGATTCCTGATCCCTGCTTCAGAGCATCTTGGCAAAATAGGTATCTTAACATCATGACTTCAGAAAAGGTACTGCTAATCTATGCAGCCATCAAGTTTTGAGACTCAGACAACAAAATTCCACCCGTTCACACAAAGGCAGCTTTTTGCAATTGCTTGCAAAGTTTCATCTAAGAGGTGTCAAAAGAGCAAAGCACAAGCTCCTTCTTCAGGATGAACACTTTCAGGGCTGCCCTCCCCCAGCTGCGTGACATTCATGCTGACCTACTAACAGCAGCTGAATTGCATCAGCTGGCACAGGGAACGAGCTCCCAGGGGACAGAAGCATGTAGGGTGGTACAGATCACACTGCAGCCCTCCCTGTCTCTCTAAACACAACTGTCCAAAGCTGCATGAACTCTCTGAAGAAGCAAAAGACAAGGCTGTCCAACAACAAGCACTCTTGCACTGCATCCCTCTCTTTCTAGGGATGTGATTCACAGTAGGCTGTGAGTACCTGACTGAAGCATTCTTTCTTTTGACACAGCCTTTTGAACACGGTTTTTGCCCACAATTTCACAGGATGGCATATAAAAGGGAACATTCCATTTAAATTTCAACAGTTCAGTTCTTGGATGTAAAATGTCCATCCTAAAATAACCAAGAAATGGTAACATACAGCATTCAAATGTTTAGACCTGTGGGTTTATTCCTGCAGGACAGGCTTGAGAGAGGAAACAAGAAGTAAGAAAATGGAAGCACTTTTATTTGTTTCAAAAACATAGTATTTTAGAATAGACTTAAGAGGTCATAAGCATTTATGAGTTCTAATGGTGGTGGCTTAATAGGAATCTTTCCAACGGTGAACTCCTTTGCTTCAAATTGTTTCCACTCTTCAGCTGATAATTCATTCTTTGGTGTAAATAACTTATTTGATGCAGAAGTGGTGGTGACTGCCGAAGATGCTGAGGTAACATGATGTCCAGAGGCACCGGCACTCTGTCCAAATAAAGCACTACTTGAAGGTGAAGCAGAAGTGGCTACAGCTGCATTAAAGGCTCCAAAGGCTGAGAGTGGAGTGGTGCTTGAAGAGTTCACAGCTCCTGCATTGCCAAAGCCTGAAAATCCAGAAGTCCCAAACCCACCAGATGTTGCAGCTATTTTGAATGAGAAGGAGGCTGCAGACGGAGCCGCAGGGCTGCCAAACCCAACGGCTTGGGGTGTGCTAGAAGACGACGTCACCCCAAAAGCAGGAGGATTACCAGCAGCAGAAGAGCTCCCAGCAGCAGGGCTGTTTGCAGATGATGATGAACTGATGAGGCTGGAACTGGTATTAAAGGAGAAACTGCTGGCACTGCTACTGCTGCTGCTCACAGGAAAGCCTGCAAGTAAAGAATTTATAAATGGGTAGACCAGTGATACTAAACCACTGCTGTATTTCAAAAATGCAGCAGCAGAAAAACTCAAGAAGATGTTTATCTCCTCGTTCTTAGGGCAGGAACTTACTTGACAGCCCAAAACTTGATGTTTGTTGTGCTCCCAGTCCAAAGGCAGGCAATGGTTGAGTGCCCATGTTCTTGAAAGCAGAGAGCTGAAAAAAAGCCAAAGACAGAAATGAAAAGTAGATTCCAAAAGAGGGAACGGTCTTTCAGTAAATACTTGAAGCAAAAACAGAGCTGCCCAGCTCAACTTAATCCAACTCAGACTAAGTTAGTCTCTCCCACCTATCTCTCATTTCCTCATTTTGGCATTGCCCAGCCACTATATTTGTCTTAAGATGTCCTGGAGGGCAATTCTGGTCTGGTCTGCTGATTCTGTCTTGGAAGAGTCAACATCAACACATGGAAAATAAGGTCAGGTGGGGATTTGCCTCTTCCTGTACATGGCCACAACCAGATCCCAACCTTAAGCTCTGGTTACTTTTCTCATGTGACTTGTAATGAGAATATTCCAAAGCTGGGATCCAGCTGCTGCCTTGCTAATGTGGAACCATCTCAATTCACTCCTTTCCCCAGTTAACTAAAGGGGATACCTACCTGTATCCATTTCAGGATTCCAGAGAACAGGCCCAGGTGGCACATCACAATTACCACGTCTCAGAAATCTTTGTAACCCAGATTAATATTGGTGTACATTAATTCATTCAAAGATGACATCAGGAACAGAAACATTTTGCCTTTCCTTAACACTTACCAAAGCAGCTTTTGTCGATGCATTTAAAGCTTTCAACTGAAGCAGCTGATTTTTCCATCGTGCTGCTAACTGTTGGACAGCATCTATTCACAATTACCACGTCTCAGAAATCTTTGTAACCCAGATTAATATTGGTGTACATTAATTCATTCAAAGATGACATCAGGAACAGAAACATTTTGCCTTTCCTTAACACTTACCAAAGCAGCTTTTGTCGATGCATTTAAAGCTTTCAACTGAAGCAGCTGATTTTTCCATCGTGCTGCTAACTGTTGGACAGCATCTATCTAAAAAGGGGGAAAGAAAAGCAAGTTTTAAAACAAAACAAGAGTGATCTGAGAACTGAAGTGCAAGTAGATACCTAGAATTAGAAAAGAAACTTCATTAAGCCAAGAAGACAAGATTTTTGCTTTCCTGAAACTTCCATGTGAGGAGCTGAGATTTTTGCTATTAACCGAGAATTCCTTTAAATTCTCTTACTACTGCCCTTAAATCCACCTTTTGACTTTATATAGGGGTAATAATAGAAGAAAAAATTTTCTAGGGCTTCTCAAATCCCAGTTCTGTCACTTTCTGAATTAGATGCTTTGGGAAAAAAACAAAACCAAATGACACAAGATATGTAAGTTTTAAATATATGAGAATAAATTCTTCAATCAGTGTTTTATTTCTGGCCTGTCCACTTATGTGCTCACTCACTAACCTGAAGTCCTAAGCTTGCCTTGGCTTCTTCCACATTTTCAGAACAAAAAATGCCCATTTTCAAAACAATGGAATTCAGAACACTTAAATAATATCATCCTAAAACATTTGGTTGTGATGAAATTAACTTTCCTAATTTAAATCAAGCTATTTAACAGGATCCATCAGATAACTGCATAGAACAGAGCAGCAATAAATTGTACCTGTGTCTTGATAACTGTGATTTAGTATTAAACAAGTAACTGGAAAGTCTTCAAGTAACTTTTCAGGAATTTCAAACCTGAATTTCTTACATTGATATTTAAGTTTCTCAACACATCTTATTTGAAGCCTGGCCTAACTGAATTTTCCTTAAAAACTAAACAAGAAAACTACCTAATGTGACAAATGCCTGTAAGAATGAAATGAGTAACCTTTTTGTTGATCAAGTCCTTAATTTCTCAAGAGAGTCTTACACCACAAACATCAGTAATTCTTTTGTGTCCAGTCACATGCTTGAAGATCATGTTGCCTGGTATCAGCTCTTACACAAGAGACTGGAAAATTCAGATTTTGACCCAGTTTAAGAATAGAAGCATGGAAAAGACATGTTGTACTTAAACATTTTGTGAGAGAACTGTATCATAAAGTTATCATCTATACACTGAGAGTTTCCTGAACTTGCACTTACTACTTTGGTGAGACCACAATATTTTGTTTAATAGCCATGCACAGTGTATTGTCTAATCATTGCAGTTTCTTATTTCAATTGAAATTTTACAAGAAAAAGTATCTCATATCCCTGAAAATACAGCTCTAGTAATTCTAAACATATGAAGCAAGAGTGATGACAACAAACAGCAATTCCTCCTGTAACACAGAACCAAGG